GGGCCTTCGGGGTGAGGGCGGGGGGCGCGGGCTGGGAGCCTTTGGTCAGGCCCACTCCATCCTCCTCCCAGGAGCCCGGCCGCAGCCCCCGCCCGCTCCCCTCCCCTCCCGCTTCCCGTCGCTCTGGGCCCCGCTGGGGAAAGACCCTTTGGCTCCCCAGCCCCCAGGCACACGGGGTTTTCAAACCGCATGTCGTCCCGGGTGTGGTGGGCTGTTCAAAGCCTGAAAGGAAAGAACGGTTCCGCCCACCCCCTCCGTCTGCCTGGCTCTCGGCTCTGAGAGAGGGTTTGTGGCTGGGAGGCCCCGGGTCAGGAGGAGGGGCGGTGAGGGCTCATGGGAAGGCTCCGTGGCCCCCGGCCCACCTCCCGAGGCTGCTGGGGGGGTCCCCAGGCACAGGCACCCCACATCCGAGGGCTCCTTGGTGTGGGGACAGACGGGGGCTGGTGGGTGTTTCCGTGTGCCAACCACGGGGCTCGGAGCTGCCGGCCGGCCCTGCGTGGAGCCTGGGGGGACAGTGCGGAGGGGCCCGGTGGGCCAGCGGGGTGTCCTCGGAAAGGGGGGGCAGCAGGAGAAAGACTTGCAGGGCGTTTTTTTTTTATTTTTTTTTTATTAAAGTGACTTTAAAATCGCGCTCCCCCGTCACTGTGGAGTGTGGGGTTGTCTCAGATTCAATCTGCTCCTCTGCCACAGTCACCAGAAAATAGGTTAATTTCAGCGAAGCAGAATCTGAAACCGGCCCCTCAGGCGGGCGGCGCTGACGTGCGGGTAAAAATAGCTCCCAGTTTCCAGCCCGGAGACTCCGGGGGTCCGGGTGTGGCCCCAAGGCGGTGTGGGTCCCCGGAGTGAGGCCACAGCCGGGACGCTCGCTCACAGGGCACCCCACACCCTCAGGACAGTACCTCCTGGCCCTCCCCCCACGGGTGCTGGGCAGGTGGTATGCGCTGGGGGCCCATCGGGGCCGGGCCTGCTCCCTGGCCTCCAGCTCGGGGCGTCTGTCCACACGCTCACGGGCCTCTGCTCATGGGAAGGGGGTGCGTGCTCTGGGGGCAGCTGCTCCGGACGCTTCCTTTGTCCTCCAGGCCCCAGAGGCCTCAGGCTTCACAGTCCGGCCCGTGGCCGGTGGTGTCCCTGGCGGACTGGCTCCTGCCTCCCCAGAGCAGTCTCCCTGCCCCAGAGTCCCTCCCCCTCCGTTCCCGTCTTTATTTCATTTTCCACTGAGCTTGCACAGTCGCCTCGAGAACTGTTTCTTCTGGAACGTTCCTTCCCCCGTCTCCTGGGCTGGGAGAAGCCGTGCAGCCAGGCCGCTGCGAGGGGACGGGGTCGGGAGGCCGGAGGGCGGGCCGTGGGGAGGGCGGAGCACAGAAGCCCGTCCAGTGACTGGAGGGCCGGTCCAGTGGAGGCCGGACGTGCCCTGGCCCATTGCTGGTGCGATGGCCATCTGTCCACCTGGGGCCTGTGCCCGGTGAGAGCCGGGCTGGCCGCTCTCCAGAGCCCCCGCCTGTGCGTGCTCCTGCCCTCCCCTGGGACCTTGCCTCGGGCCAGCCTGGGGTGCAGAGCCGCCCGGAGCCCACGCCCCGTCTCCCTGAGCCCCGGCGGCCACACCGCGTCCTCGCGGGCACCGCTCAGGCCGGGCGGGGCCGCGGGGCCGAGGGCCCGGGCAGCCCCGTGGGGCCTGACCCCCCTGCCCGCTGTCTGCCCGCTGCTCCTGAGGCTCCGGGTGAGCCTGACCTTTGGTGCGGCCACGTGGGCCTCAGGGTTGGCGCTGGGAGCCTGGTGTCGGGGTCGGACGTGCCGGGCACCGCGGCCCCGGGCTGTCTGCTCGCCGCGTCTCCCCCTCGCGGCAGCTGTCCGGCCGCTGCTGGGCGACTGACCTCGGCTTCTGGTTCTCACCAGCAGCTTATTCACTTTTTAAACGACAGCTTTACTGAGACTGTTTACTCGCCCTGCCTGGGAGCAGGCCAGGTTCCCGTCAGCGCCATCGCCATCGCCTCCCGATCAGGGCCTTCTTCACCGAAAAGCCCGGCGCCCGGCGCCCACTGCCTGTTCAGGGCCTTCCGTGCGCGGAGCCACGCCGTGGCCTCTGCCGGCTCCTCACGGAGTCCCTCAGGGTTCCTCCCGTGACAGCGCGAGGACGTGGGCCGCACACGCGTGTGGACAGACCGCCGCCGTACACCGGGCGGCCCCCGTGTTGGGTCGCTGTGAGCACACATGTACACATGTGTGTGGATGTGTTTCCCACGGTCTCCATCCGTGCCAGGGGCGGCGTTGCCGGGTCACGGGGGGCTGCTGTGTTTCACTTGGGGACCCGACACTGTCCACGGCGCGTGGGGGGCTGGCTCCACACGCCACGTCAGAGCTGAGATGCTCCCTCCGGCTGCACAGGCCTCCGTCCCGCCCGCCAGCTCCTGGCGTGTGACCACGGAGCAGGGTCTCGGGCCATGCAGCCAGCATGTCCCCGCAGGGCAGCTCCGTGCTGCCAGGCTTCCGGGCTCCGCTGTTCCCGTGGGCGTGGGCGTGGCCTGCTGGGGGGCGGGGCCTGGTGAGTTTGATACTCGTTTCCCTGGTGACCAGCGATGCTGCGTCTCTTGATGTGCTTGTCGGCCACGCGTCTGTCTTGTTAGAAATGTTTGTTCGTCCTTGACCCCTTTCTCAGCCGTGTGTGTGTGGGGGTCTCAGAGCTGCTTCCTGTCTGTATGCTGGACCGGCCCCTGTGACTCTGATCTGAGACCCCTCCTTCCGCTCAGCTGGCCTATCTCCGCCCTCGTGACCGTGTGCTTTGCGGCGTGGAAGTGTCTGGCTTTAGCCCTGGCCGGGCTGGCTCAGTGGACGGGCGCCGGCCTGCAGAGGCGGTGATGGGGAAGGTGGTGGGACAGGAACAGGAATAGGGGGTGATGGAGGTGCAGGCAGGGTAGCACATGCTTGTGGGCGGTACACCCCGCTCTGTGTGAGCTTCACCCAGGCAGGTATGTGGGGGCCCTCTCCCTGGGGGGCGGCAGTGGGGCCCCCAGCCTGTCCTCCTCCAGCACCGACACCGCCTCCCTGTGGGCCCGCCCATGGCCTCGTGGTGAGAAGAGGGAGCTGACCAGGGCGTGTGGGCTGCGCTCAGGCGGGCGTGGCGGTCGCGGCTGCGGGCCCCGCCCTCGGTGTCCTCGCGGCCTTCCTCCAGGCCTTCCCGGTGCGGCCACTGGGGTGCGCCTCCCCGGGATTCTCCCTCCGGCTCCTGCTGCAGCTCTGTCAGCCCCCAGGGGCACCTGTGACCTCACCGGGCCTGGGGCCACCCCCCTCCGCTCCCCCTGCCCTTCCGCCCGAGGTGGCAGATCCCTGTTTGGTTTCCGGGCCTGGCCCGCGGGCAGGGCAGGCAGGCGCCCGGGGACCGGCGTGTCTCCTGCAGGCAGAGCGGTGTGTCCGCGGGACCAGACTCTATTGGCCTCCCGCCCGCCTGCCCCTCGCCCAGCGCCAGTCCCACCTGATGCCCAGGCCCAGCACCCGGTGCGGAGGCCCTGGGCGTCCCTGGGCGGTGGTCTGCGTGCCCAGTGTCCACACACTGCCCTGAACAGGAAGTGCCCAAACCCTGACGGTGCGGGCGCCCCCGCACACCCTGCCCGGTGGCCAGGCCAGGGCTGACGGCGCGTGGGAGGGTGTGGCCGCGAGCGGGTGGGTGTGGCGAGCGGCAGCCGTCTGACACCGGCTCCCTCCCTGAGGTTCTCGGAATCGGCGCCTGTGGCTTTCCTCTCGGTGAGAAGCCGCTTGTTTCCTCCGCCACCGTCCGCTCAGACAGGAAGCCCCGCCCTCGCCCTGCAACCACCCCCTCCGCCCCCGTCTGTGCCAGGTGGCGGGCACCGCCAGTGCAGGCAGAGGTCGCCCGCAGCACCCTCGTGGGGGCGTCTCCCCGTGCTTGTCCCATCGGGCCCCCCAGTGCCGCCTGGGCGGGCTGCCTGCTTCCTGGAGTGAGATCGGAGCGAGGGCTCCCTGTCCCTTGAGGGAGGGCTGAGGACGAATGGCTGCCCGACAGGGTGCGGGCGCCTGGCACACGCACACGCACACGCACTGGAGCCCTCAGGCCACGGCCCCTGCCCCAGGTCCACCTGCCATGTCTCCTGATCCCTAATGACAGCTGTGGTGAGCAGCCCGGGACTGACCGCCCTCCGCCCTCCCCCGGGACACCCCGCCCCCCCGGCCCTCGGGCCCTCCCCCTCCTGAGCACGGGCTGGCGAGTGACGGCCTCTCCCCCAGCCCTCGCCCCCCGTGGGGTATGGGTGCCCACGGAGTCTCCTGGACGTGCAGGCCCCTGGCCCCTCGGGGTGGGTTCCCGTCGCCCCAGAGTCCTTGAGCACGGAGGCCCATGGCCAGGGGCCGTTCCCCTCCCCCTCCACACACACACTTTTACTCACACACACACACACACACACACACTCACACACACACACTCACACACTCACACACATTCACACACACACACTTATACTCACACACACACACACACACACTCACACACACACACACACACACACTCACACACATTCACACACACTCACACACACACTTATACTCACACACACTCACACACTCACACACACACACACTCACACACACACACTCACACTCATACTCTCACTCACACACACTCACACACACACACTCACTCTCACTCACTCTCACAGGCACACACACAGTACAGGCCAGAGCAGCTTTGACATTAGTTCTCTGGTGACACCAGAGCCCTGGGGAAGCTTTGGGCTGCCGGACGGAGGCCACCGGGCCGGGCGGCGGCTGCTCTGGGCGGACTCGGCGGCCCTCGGCTCCTGCCGGCCGTGGGCACCGGGCGGTCGTCCCACGAGGACCTGCTCGGAGCGTGGCCCCCCAGGACGCTGCCATTGCGGGCGGCGGTGGCTTCCGCCTGAGCGCAGTGCTGGCTGGTTCCAGGGCAGGTGTCCAGTGCTGGGGGGACTACCCAGGCGTGGGCGCCCCAGTGCCAACGGGAACGTTTGTGTCGCTCACAGGTCTCCTCTGAGCCCCCCGTCTCCATCAGAAAAACAGACGACGCTCCCTCCCAGCACCCTGCATCTTCGGAGAAGGACAAGCAGTCCAGCTGGCTGCGGACCCTGGCCAGCTCCTCCAGCAAGGTTCGCAGGGGCGGGGCCTGGGGCGGGGCCTGTGGGTGGGATGGGGCGGGGCTGTGGGCGGACCACCAGTGCAGTTCACTGGCCTCTGACACGGTGCCTCTCCCTTCCCCCTCAGAGCCTGGGCTGTGCTCACCCTCGCCAGCGCCTCTCCGCCTTCCGACCCTGGTCCCCTGCGGTTTCTGCCAGCGACAAGGAGCTCTCCCCCCACCTCCCAGCCCTGATTCGAGACAGGTAAGGGCCCTGCTCGGCGGCCAGCGGGCCCCGCAGGCCTGGGCCTCATTGGACTCTGCAGCCTCCGAGTCAGTGGTCAGCTCTCTGCTGAGCTGCCCCGCCAGGGCCGGCCTCAGGCGGCCACGTGCGTGCGTGCGTGGCCTGTGGTGGCCTGTGCGGGACCCTAGAGCACACACTCCCACAGCCCAGCTGCCGCGACCGGAGCCTGCGTGGCCGGGGCAGTGGAACCCGCCTCGTGTCTTTTTGCCGTTACTTGCTTTTCGTTAGTCCTCACCCGAGGGTATTTCCCCACTGAGTTTTGGGTGGCGGGGGGCACATCCACGTGAGACATCGCGATTGCCAGTCCTTTCCTGCACACGCCTGACTGGGGCCGGGGACGGAACCTGCAACCGAGGACATGCCCTTCGGTCCACAGGCCGACGCCACCCCTGAGCCGCCAACCAGGCCGCCTGGCATTGCTCCGGGCGTCTGTCATGGCGTGTGGTGACTGTAGGCCTCCCGGTGCCCGGGCCCAGCTGCCTGGCCACTGTGATGGGGCCAGGGAGAGCTCGTCCGGAAACTCTGTGGGTCAGGATGGCGGCAGCTCCCGAGGCCCCGCTGGTGTCTCCCTCGTGCTCCGTGCTCAGCACTGGCTGCTGGCCCTCGGGGGGGTGGGGAGGGGCTGGGCCGGTCTTACAGTGCCCACCCCGTGCCCACCCCGTGCCCGCAGCTTTTACTCCTACAAGAGCTTCGAGACCGGTGTGGCCCCCAATGTGGCCCTGGCGCCGCCGGCCCAGCAGAAGGTCGTGAGCAGCCCGCCATGTGCCACCATCGTCTCCCGGGCGCCCGAGCCCCACGCCTCCTGCATCCAGCCACGGAAGCGCAAGCTGGCGGCCGACACGCCCGGGGCCCCGGAGGCGCAGGCCCCCACGGCCGCCCCGGAGGAGGACAAGGACTCGGAGGCCGAGGTGGAGGTGGAGAGCAGAGAGGAATGTACGTGGGAGCCCCTCAGCCAGCCCTCCCTCGGCCAGCCCATCCCCCTCGGCCAGCCCATCCCCCTCGGCCAGCCCATCCCCCTCGGCCAGCCCATCCCCCTCGGCCAGCCCTGCCCCTCGGCCAGCCCTGCCCCTCGGCCAGCCCTCCCCCTCTGGTCAGCCCACCCCCTCGGCCAGCCCTCCCCCTCCGGTCAGCCCACCCCCCTCGGCCAGCCCTGCCAGGGAGGGGGTGCGAGCTCCCCGGTAACCTACACCCGCTTCTCTTCACAGTCACCTCCTCCCTGTCCTCGCTCTCCTCGCCGTCCTTTACCTCATCCAGCTCGGCCAAGGACCTGAGCTCCCCAGGGGTGCACGCTCCGCCCGCCCCGCCCTCGGCCCCCGACACTGCGGCCCCCAGCGACCCCCCGAGCGGGGGGCTGGAGGCGGAGCTGGAGCACCTGCGCCAAGCGCTGGAGGGCGGCCTGGACACCAAGGAGGCCAAGGAGAAGTTCCTGCACGAGGTGGTCAAGATGCGCGTCAAGCAGGAGGAGAAGCTGAGCGCCGCCCTGCAGGCCAAGCGCAGCCTCCACCAGGTGAGGCAGCTGCCGCCTGAGACAGAGGGCTCGGCCCTGTCTGTGGGACAGGCTTCGGGCCTTTCCTGAGCCTCAGGTTCTAGAAGGAGGTGCCGCCGGCCCCACACAGGGTGTCTGCGCGGCTCAGCACGGAGGTGCCAGGCACAGGCAGTACCACTCTCACCCCCGAGCGGGGCAGACGCTGCGGGACCACCTGTGGGTCCAGAGCTCAGCAGCCCCCAGGCGCGGTCCGGCCTGCCGGCTGCTGCTCTGACGAGCAGGGAGGCTGCGAGCAGAGTGTTCCCAGCGCCTGGGTGGGCGGGCGGGGCCTTCACACCAGCTCTGGCGAATTCACACCTCTGCTGGCGTCTGGCAGCTCGGGGACAGCTTCACACGTGGGCTGCCAGCGCACACAGCCCTGCGGTCTCGTCTGAGAGCCCCAGAGGCAGGCGCCGCCTCTGCATGGAGTTCAGGCATCAGGCTCTGTGCTCCCCTGCCCCCTCCCCAGCGCCCTCCGGCCCGGTCCAGTGACATCCCAGGTGCATGTTAACAAGCGTGTTTGCAGGGTCCCCGGTGACCGGCCGGAGCAGCTGGGAAGGGGTTGCCTCCATCTGGCTCGGTGCGCCTGCGCTGGAGCTGAGGGAACCCCTGGCTGCACAGAAGCCCAGGGCTGGCCCCGTGGGCAGAGGGAGCTCGGGAGAAGGCGGCCCAGGCCCCGCAGTGGCTTCTGGTGCAAGAGCCTCCGGGCCAGACCCCAGGCTCAGGGTGCTGGTGAGAGTGGAGCCCTGATACGCAGGGGGTGAGAGCCTAGGCCGTGGGACCTGTGGGGACCCGCCAGGGTGAGGGAGACAGGAGGGTGTGAGGCAGAGAGGATGTGACCCAGGGTTGGCACCTTCTGGGTCACAGGTGCGGGGAGGGCGGGCAGGCGTGTGTGTGTGTGTGTGTGTGTGTGTGTGTGTGCATGTTTGTGTTTATGCACACGTCCATGTTTCTATGTGTGTGTGCATATCTATATGCATTTGTGTCTGTGTGCGTGTATGTATGTATCCGTGTGTGTGTGCATGAATGTATGTATCTGTGTGTGCACACGTGTCTGTGTGCGTGTCTCTGTGTGTATGTATGTATCCGTGTGTGTGCATGAATGTATGTATCTGTGTGTGTGCACACGTGTCTGTGTGCGTGTATGTATGTATCCGTGTGTGTGTGTGCATGAATGTATGTATCTCTGTGTGTGTGCACACGTGTCTGTGTGTGTGTCTGTGGGCGCTGTGTGGGCAGGGCGGGGCGGGCGGGGAGCCCGCGGTGGCCGGCAGGCGGTGACCCGCGCCTCCCCAGGAGCTGGAGTTCCTGCGCGTGGCCAAGAAGGAGAAGCTGCGGGAGGCCACAGAGGCGAAGCGCAGCCTGCGCAAGGAGATCGAGCGCCTCCGCGCCGAGAACGAGAAGAAGATGAAGGAGGCCAGCGAGACGCGGCTGCGCCTCAAGAGGGAGCTGGAGCAGGCGCGGCAGGCCCGGGTGTGCGACAAGGGCTGCGAGGCCGGCCGCCTGCGCGCCAAGTACTCGGCCCAGGTGCGCGGGGCGGGCGGGGCCACGGGGGGCCCGGCGGCCTGCGCTGTGGGCGGTCGGGGGGCGGCGGGCTGGGCAGCCTCTCGCCGGCCGCGGCGTTGAGAGCCCTCCTGGGGCTCCACGTGCCCGGCGGTGGCCGCTGGGTGTGGCCCGGTGCCGGCCGGCCGGCCGTGGGGCTGACGCGGGTTCCCTTGCAGATCGAGGATCTGCAGGTGAAGCTGCAGCACGCGGAGGCCGACCGCGAGCAGCTGCGGGCAGACCTGCTGCGGGAGCGCGAGGCCCGGGAGCACCTGGAGAAGGTGGTGAAGGAGCTGCAGGAGCAGCTGTGGCCGCGGCCCCGCCCGGACGCCGCCGGCAGCGAGAGCGCCACGGAGCTGGAGCCCTAGCGGCCGTCCCGTCCGTTCGGACCCAGCGTGGAGGGCGGGCGGCCCCACGCCGCGCGGGGGCCCTGCGTGGAGGGCCCTGGGGGGCCGCCCTCCTCCCAGCCCAGATAGCACAACGTCTTACTGTGCCTACAACCAAGCAAGTGTTTGCAACCACATCCTTTTGGAATCCAGAGCAGATTTTCTACTGGCCACACCGTTCAGGCGCAAGCTGGGCCCGCAGCCGGACCGGCCGCCGGGCCGCGGCCTCCGCTTGCTGGGACACCCCAACATTCACACTTTTGTTATAAGCTATTTAAAACCAATAAGGAGACTTGACATTCAGAAAAAGAAAAAGAAAAATCGCCACGTTTTTTAACGACTCACTTTTAAAGCCCCACCACCACGCGACGCATCGAGGACCCAGGAGCCGGGCCGCCCGGCGAAGCCATCCAGCTCACGGCCGCGGCCGCGGCCGCGGCCACACGGACGCGCAGGGTCCCTCCAGAGTCTATTTTTTCAGCGATGAGGACCCGGTCTCCGTGCTGCCGCGGGGAGCCGGGCGCCCGCCCTGAGCTGACACTGCCGCCTTAGCCCGCCGCCCTCGCCGCCCGGGGGCCGGAGGGGACTGGACTGTCCGCGCCGCCGACCGCGGGCGGCGCCTGCCCCTCCGCCGAGGCTGCAGCATCGGAACAAACAGCATTATTCACTCTTTCTTTCCTCTTTGTTTGTTCATTTAAACGTCCACTTAGAACTGCACTTTGTCGGAACCTTCCCCGTTTTTGCCCCCAGTAGACTGAGGTTTTTACTCTCCAGACGCCGACCCGGTCCCGGAGCAGGTCGCGCCTGCGCGGCGTCTGGAACCCTCTGGTGCTCGGTGGAACAAGGGAATCACAAGGAAACGAAGCGCAAAAACTGAACTCGGGGGGTAGCTCTGTGCCTTCCAGCATCCTGTACAGCGAATCCCCACTTTTTACCCCCAGATATCCGTCTCCATAGCGATCGAATCTGCCACTATAAAATAAGTTCCTTGCATTTATTCCAGATAATCTCGTTTACTCTCCGCTGTTGTTTATGCAAACCGTAGAAGGTTCTCTGCGCCCCGGCCGGAAGTGACGTCCCAGGAGACGGGCCGCCCGCGGAGACGTCGGTCTCCGTGGCCGCGAGGAAGATCTGCCGGAGTCTCCCGCCTCCGCCTGAGGCCACGGCCACGGCCACGGCCACGGCCACGCGGAGAGCAGAGCGGTGCGACGGCCCCGCGGGGCCTGGGGGTACGGGCCCGGGGCTGCTGGGCCCTCCGAAGTGCAATGCAAAGGGGACCCCGTGTATCGCAGCGAGCGTTTGGGTTTTGTTTTATTCTTTTCGCTTTGTTGTTCTTTTGCAGTTATTAAACCTGTATGCATGGAATCGAGCCTCTGCCACACGTATACCCTCGATGGGCATTATTACCGTGCCATGTAAAGGTCAGTTAGGCAACTCGCAGAATGCCGTGTCAGCCCTGTTTTTCCAGAGTTGTGTTTCTTTTCAGTCACTTTTCAAGGGAAACTAAACGGTGTAGCTGGAGCTTTGTGCGTGTCGGTGTGCTTCTGTGGGGCCGCGCTGCCGGCCGGAGCCGCGGGGAGACCGAGGCGGCAGGCGGGCGGGCCCCGAGGGAGACGCACGCGGCTCCTCCCACTTGGACACAAGGGAGCCGCCTGTCCGTCCCCTGGCACCCTCCCCTGCAGCCTTCCATGCCTCTGCCAGCTGTGTCCCCACACGGCATCTGGAAGAGCTAGGCGCAGCGGCTTCTGGTCCCACCCTGGCCAGGAGGGAGCGATGGGGCGGGAGGCACAAGGCTCCCCTTCACCAGCAGCTCAGGCTTCCTGGCAGCTCCCTGGGCAAGGCCGGGCAGGGGTGCCCGGCAGCCCCACTCCCTGGTGCCGCTGCGCCCTGTCCTTCCCCAGGGGGAGGCGGGTCCTGTGGGCAGGCGACCAGGTGTGATGCCGTCCGTCCGGCGAGGGTGTGCGGCCGGGTGCTCACTGTCCTCTGCCCGGAGCGGCGGCCCGAAGGGAAACGACAGCAATAACCACCCGGGGCAGCTCCCGCCCGCCTTGCTGATCTGACGCTGATCACCCCGGTGCCGCCCTGGTGGTGGCTCCCAGAAGCCCTCCTGCCCCGGAGCCGCCTGTGCTTGGCGCTGTAGTGGGCGGGGCTCCTGGGCGGGGGCGGGGCCTGTCCCTGGGCCCGGGGGAGGCGTGTCCTCCCGAAGGCGGCGGCCCCATGACCTTCCCGGATTAAGGAACAGACACGGCTCCCCCGTCCCGCCAGGAGCACCCACGCGTCCCGTCCTCTCCTTTGCTGCTGCTAACGACAATATGACTTACTCTACGATTCGAAAGCTATTTTTATGTAATTAATGTATGCGCTCTTGTTTATAAATGCCTGATTTAAAGAGAAAGAGAAGCTTGGCCTGTTTGTCGCCTTCGCCCGCCCGCTCGCCTCTCGGCGCCCTGCTCCGACGCCTCGTACAGGAAAGGGCTCGGGAGGCCACACGGGTGCTGCCAGGTCCATCCTCCCCCCCGGTCACTGAGCTGTGCTTCTGGTGCCGGGCATCAGCTCGAGGCCCAGCCTCCATGGGCTCGGAAGCCTCACCCCCCGCGGAGCGGTCTTGCACGGGGAGGGGAACAGGGTGTCTGAACCCTGACCCCAAACCCTGGGGCAGACGCAGGGCCCTCTTCACACCGCCTCGCTCCCCAGAGGCTCCGCAGACCCGCTCTGCAGGGCCCCGGGTGCCTGGCCTCCAGCCTCCCCGCCCGGCCCAGCCCCTCACTGGTCCTCCGGGCACTGGGAGCACAGGCGCAGCCCGGCACAGGCCCATCTCCTGCAGCTGGGAAGCCCCCAAGCCTGGCCCAGAAGTGTGGGTGCACACAGATTCTTCTCCCCCCACCCCCACGTGGTCCCCAGGTGCAGGTGTCCTGGCCACGTGTCCTGAGAAGGCCACGCCACCCCCAGGCTGGCCAGACCGCGTTGAGGGGAACAGAGAGAGCTCCCACACCCCTGGCCACTTGCTTATGGCCCCTGCCAGGCCAGAACCTGGGCCCCAGCAGCTGCCCCGGGGGGTGAGGCCCAGGGTGGGAGGCAGGCCAGGTGGAAGGGCGGCTGCTGCCCCCTTCCTGCTGTGCTTGGACCCAGATCCCTGCCTGGGGTCCTGGGCACCACGGTGTGGGGGGCAAACCCACTTCAGTGGGCACAGCTGAGGCCCCGCTATCCTCTGCCCCAAGAGCACCCCCCACTGCAGCTGCCCCCAGGGGTCACCTGGGCCTGGACCCCACCACCAGAGGCAGTGAGGGGGTCTCCTGCCTGACCACAGCTCTGCCTGGGTGCGGGGGTCCCCCTTGCTCTGTCCACCAGGAGGGCTGCCCTCCTGCCGTCTTCTGAGGTCTCTAGTGTCCCTTGCAGCCGACCGGGGTCCCGGCCCCTGCAGCCATGGGGAAGCCGAGGGGAGGGGCAGCGTGACCATGTGACCCGTGGGCTCGTCCGACCAGCTGCCATCGCTGGGCTCTGGTGTCCACCCAGGGCCAAGGCCCGTCCTGAGTTCTGCCTGGCCCGTCCTGAGTTCTGCCTGGCCCTTCCCCAAGCCCCTGGCCCTGGCTCCCCGCCTCAGGTCCAGATGCCACTCTTCCCCCCTCCAGAGGGTGGGGCCATGGGGAGGAGGGGGGGATGGTAGGGAGGTGGATCTGGACAGGAGGCGTGTCCTGGGGAGGCCGGCCCAGCGGGAGGCCCTGGGCGGGTAGCGTGGGTCCATGTGGCCAGCGGAGGGGGTGGGGGTGGGGGTTCCCGGCTCCGGCTCTGCTGCCTGCCCAGGCTTCACTTCGGACTTAAGTTCACAGCATTAAAAAGGTCCCCACCCACCACCCAGAGCAGGCAGCATGGGAGTTACCTGGCGTCAGAACCCCTTCCCAGAGCCATTCTGGGGGGATCAGGGATCCCCCTTGGGCTTAGGGGAGAGGTCAGCACAGGAGAAACCCCCTCCCCCGGGTCCTGAGCAGCCCCTGCCTCCAGGACAGGGGAGAGGGCACAGGTTTGGAGGGCACAGAGCGGGCCCCACCCCCATTTCTGGGCCAGCAGCCTGGGCAGGGTCCCCGTACCCCCCGGATCTTCCTGCAGCCCAGCCTCCCTGCCTTCTCCCTCTGAGGCAACTCCTGCCCCCCAAGACCTGGGGGTGAAGTGAGCCCTGAGTGGGGGTGCTCCTGGGAGTCTCCTGGGGTCCCTGTCACCCCCCACACCCCCAGCTTTCACTCTGCCTGCCACCTGCAGCCCGGCCACCCTCGCCCCCAGCTGTGCCCGCCTGCCTGCCTGTCCTGTGACGTGTCCTCTGAGGGGTCCCGGACCCCGCCCAGACCCTGTGGTCAGGGCAGCCGGGGGCGGAGGACTCGAGCCCCATCGGGAGGCGGTGTGGGGCGCGCCCTTCTGAAAAGAGGAAGCCGCCGCCCACTCAGCAACAGCTGCACGACCCCCCTCCCCCAGCCGGCCTCGGTGGCCTCAGCCTGCACCCCACCCACCCCGCTGCCCCTCTCCCTCCCTCCCTCCTGCCTGTCTGCCACAGGGTCACTCCTGCCGGCCACGGAGAGACCAGCCCGTCTGCCCAGGGGTTCAGGAGCCCCAGGCCCTCCCCTTGCTCCGCCGGCCAGGCCTCTGGCTGCTGCTGCCCCAGCCCGAGCTGCACGCGGGGGCCGGGGACCACCACCTGCACGGAGGTGGGAATCCTGTGGGGAAATGGGGGCTGGCCCACCCTGCTCCACTGGCCCTAAAATGATGGGGCTGGGACCCTGCTGGGCGGAGCTTGGATGGGGCATGGAAGCCACTGCCCCGCGGGGGCAGCCGCCGGCACCCTCCTGCCGGCCCGCCGTGGCCAGCCCTGGGAGGGGTGCCCGCCAGCCCCCGCCCCCTGCGTGAGGATGACGTGTGCCCTGCAGGCCCCGCGCACACGCCATCTGTGCCCAGGCCAGTGCCAGGGCCGGGCCGCGGCTCGGCCCGGGAGCAGG